CCTCCTAGATGTGGCTCAGACTCTGGGCCGAGGTCATGGACCTCCTCCGCTCTCTCCCTGACAGTTTCCGGAGCAGCGACTCCCTGAAGGTGCGGCACATGAGGAAGTAGATGACCGGGTCGAAGCAGACGTTGAGCGCCGACAGGAACAGGGTCCCCTCCTTCAGCTGGAGCAACAAGAACCGGGTCTCCCAACTAAAACCTGACTCCGGCCCCTGGCTCAGATTGTACGGCACGCGGCACATGTGGTACGGCACGAAGCACACGAAGAACACCGCCAGCAGGCTGAAGATGCTGCGGTTGGACTTCCTGCAGACGTCGCTGCTGTTGTCGGGGCGGCGCACGCGGCGGTAGGACCGGTAGACCCGGCACGCGATGGCGGTGTAGCAGTAGGCCAGGACCAGCAGGGTGACCCAGAACAGACCCACGCTGAAGTACGTGGACACCCGGTGCCACCACACGCCCAGCGGCGTCTTCAGCTGAATGCAGTGCCGACTGTTCTGCTCGTCCGCCAGCTGGCTGGTCAGAATCACGTTGGGCAGCATGCAGAAGAGGAGGAGGCTCCAGGTGAGGAGTGCCAGGACACGGGCGAAGCTGACACTCTGCAGGAGGTGCAGCGGGGACACCCCGCCCAACCTAGACCTGCAGGAGGAGGAGGAGGTGGAGGTCCTCATGATCCTCACGTACCTCTCCAGGCTGATGAGCCCCATGAACAGGATCCCCACGTACATGGAGGAGTAGAAGAGCACCGAGGTGTAGCGGCAGATCACTACGTGGAGGCGCCAGCCGCCGAGGCCCAGCTGAGCCGCTGGCCTGAAGGGGAAGGAGGCCAGCATGAGGAGGTCGGCCACCACCATGTTCTTCAGGTAGACCACCAGACCCGAGTCGCTGGGCACCCGGAAGAAGATCCAGGCGGCCACGCTGTTCAGCGCCAAGCCCACCACGAAGATCAGCAGGTAGAGCGAAGGCAGCACCTGCTGGGTAAAGGTGCTTCTGAAGTGTGATTGGTTGGTGGGGAGGAGGGAGGAGTTAAGGTGATCCATCGCTGCAGACACACAAACAACACAGCTATGAACATTACGAATATCATATATATGATCATATGTAATCATAAATCAATAACACCTGCAGACACTTTGTGGTTTTAAGATTTGACATTTCAAAGAGTTTCTAACTGAATTCACACTTAAATATTTATATATATATATATTATTTTTTTTTATTTTTATTTTTATTTTTTTTTTTATTTTTTTTTTTAAATAATAAATACATTCAGATCTTCAGTAGATTGATGAACTCCTTCATGACTCCAGAGCTACAGACTCTCATGAACTACATTTAAACAAAGGTTCCTTCTCACAGGAGCTGCTGTGTTTACACAGAGACACGAGGACAAATAAAAGACATCCTGAGCTCCTGTTTGTCCTCCTGTTCACACACACTTCCTCCTCACACCGACTCATCCTGGTCCAACACACACACTCCTCCTTCATCCTGCTGCTACAAAGGAGGAGTAGGAAGAGGAGGACACCAGGCCGCCTTTTGTTCTCCTGACTCGTTTTATTTTTAGCTCTTGTCCCGAGCGGGTCTCGAACCTGTCACTCCTGCTGTGATTGTTTGTCTAGTTGATGAAAACAATCAAACAACCTGAAACACTTTTAAAATCACATTCTGGCTTCTGCGTCTCACCTGAAAACAGCAAATATCTTAAAAGAATATTATCTGTGTGTTCCAGTACACATATACTCCTATTAGTATCCCCAAAAAATATTTACTATGTATAAAAGACAAAGTATATAAATGCAGTACGTCCAAAGTACCAGGATGTTCCAAATTGCAGAGTGAGGCCAGCAGGCTTCTCTGTTCCGACCCACAATCCTTTGCACAGCAGATATACGATCAAGAGGGTAACATGTTATGATGAAGTACTTTGTCTCAACTGAACTTGTACTTCATGTACCAGTGTGTACTTTGTCAGAGCAGCTGCAATGTGTACTAAAAGTATACGCTTCATGATTCATCTTTCAGATTACAAACAGATTAAAACTCAGATTATAAAGAAATTAAACACTTAACAAAGTGAGGAAGAGGAGCATCTTCTTCCTCAGACACACGAATGGACGATTCTTTGCCTCCTGTCCTTGTCTCCTCTCCTTGTTTCCTCTCCTCTCTTATCACATCCCCTTGTCCTTTCTCCTTGTCTCCTCTCTTCTCTTGTCTCCTCCCCAATCATTTCTCCTGTCCTTGTCTCCTTTCTTTTCTCTTTTCCTTGTTTCCTCTCCTCCTTCGTCCCCTCTCCTTGAGCTTGATTCCTCTCTAGTCTTGTCTCCTTGTCTCCTCTCCTTTTCACCTCCCTTTGTCTCCTCTCTTGTCTCGTCTCTTGTTCTTGTTTCCTCTCCTCTATTGTCTTCTTTCCTTGGTTCCTCTCTTTTCTCCTCCACTGATCCTTGACTCCTCTCTAGTCTTGTCTCCTTTTCACCTCACCTCCCTTTCTCTCGTCTCCTTGTCTCCTGTCCTTGTTTCCTGTCCTCTCTGTACTTTTAATTCCTGGACATCACAGGTCAGAGGTCCTCCTCTCTAAAGGTTTCCTTACTTTAGTCTTAGACTCTCTCTCTCTCTCTCTGTGAAGATGAAACCAATGAATCAGCTGCTGATCAGCTGCTCAAAGAAACAACTTCTGCTTTCACAGGAAGTGATGACTCATCATTTCTGGATAATTTGCAAGAATCATTTGTTTTGCAAATCACATTGAGTCAGCAAACAGGAAACATTATCGTTACTGAGGATAAACAATAAGTTTAGTGTCACTGTGGGTAAACAAACTCGTCACAGAGGGATTATGGGTAAAAACACACTCAGTATCGGCAACAGAATACAATTAAAGTACTCACTCTGCAGAGTAGTATATGATAATAATAATCTAAACTTTATCTCCAGATTAAGATGATCTTGATGTTCTATGTAT